ATGTTGATTACTCTTATTTTTCCACTTCCAGTTAATTATCTTCTTAACTCCATGTTTAAAAAGGAACGACATATCTCTTTTTGCTGAATTTGCAGAAGTCTCAGCAGAAGGCCTGGAAAAATTCAGTCACACCAAATTACGTTCCTTCTAGTTTAATACATGAGGCAACTTTTTTGTTTACTACATGAATTCAGATCAAGTTGACAATTATCCTCAGCCACTACCGGATGACATTCCATCTTGCTTTGCGAGGTTTCTGCAGAACTCGTGCCTCCACTGGTTTATTTTGGTTCCAGCTCCAAATATAAAATTTCATTCTTGTGCTCTCTTCTGAGGGGCATGGATCGGCAGGGCAGGAAAAGCAGTATTCCACGACAGTTCTCACAAGACAGAAATCCAATTTTAGCATCCTACTAACCATAGCAGAATCACATAGAATCACAGAATGTCAGGAGTTGGAAGGGACCTCAAAAGATCATCCAGTCCAACCCTCCTGCCAGAGCAGGATCACCTGCAGTAGGTCATGCAGTTACCTTTCAGATGTCGAACAGGTAATATGGAATATATGTTATGGCTTATTTACTAAAAAAGAGACATCAGTCACCATATGAATTTTAAGGTCATTTAAAAGGAGTCTGTGTAAAGTGTACAACCTATCTATATCTCTGAAACTATTTTTTTTAGATCACATAGGATAAAACAGATAACACACACTTTACAGCATAAAAAGGAATGGTAAAGATTAATACACAGCAGGCAAAAGATCCTTTCTTTTTTTTCCTTCTTTTTTAATTTCATGCTAGTCCACAAAACCTTTCCAAAGGGCCTGCAGACTTGGTATGAGTAGGCAGATATGATGAACAGAATTTGTCTGACAGTAATTAAAGAACTCTTTGATAACTGTAATCCTGATCAGTTCTTCTTCAGTCATTTTAAGAGAACTAGAAGGAAAAAAAAGTTAAAAATTTCTTTCTTACAAAAAATGTTTCATTTATCTCAGCAAAAAACGCAAATAACCTACATCAAACAGTGAAGGAATCACTTTAAAGCAAAGACCACAGAATTCAAAAGCAAATTTTCCCTTTTGTCATGCACACACTTTCTCATGCATTTATGTAAAGTTGACATTGCTCAGGCTGCTTTCAATTGCCTAGAGACTTTTAGGGCGCTTGCTCTAAAAAGACATAAGCCTACTGTGGGTTCTGACATATTTCTGCTAGTCACCTGCCAATATCTCAGATATGCAGGTCACCTAAAGTGTTAAGGCAACTTGATCCAGCCATCAGTGACAAGATAAGCACCATTAAGAAAATACAGGTGGTATTTTCAAAGCATTTCAATTCTACAGCAACAAAGTGCTTTTGGATCTATCAAGCTTCAAGCTGTCACACTGAAACAGTGACCACCATTCCCACCAAGAACAGAGCATTGCGCAGCACTTATGCAGTCGGTGGAAAGATATTGCATCTTATGATTCTCCCTGTCGAGCAACTTGTTTGCAAGCTCCTGTAATGCTCTACAGAAGTGTTACAGCACTCTCAGCAGGTGATCAGTATCCCCTGTGTATGTGGAAAAAAAAATACAAACAGCACAGAGGTGTTTGTTTGTACTCATACCTACTCACATTACTAGAGTAACCCTCATGAAAATTACCACAGTTAAATTAGTTAAGCTGCTCCAGGCATGTCTTCACCATGCGTCCTACATCTATTGTCACACGCAAATTCAAGATAGCTGGACAACTCCAGGAACACTAATCAAGAGATCCGAGTCGAAGAGCTCAGAGTCAGCCTCCCTGTCTTAGTGCTCACTAGAGCTAATAAAAAAGCTTTGGAGTGTAGTTAAATCAGGAATATCTTCTCTCAGTCTATATTCAATTACTAATACAGAACAAAAAAACTCCAGGAGATAAGAATACTTGATAATGACCACCTTTCAAATTATAAGCATACAAAACAATTTAGTCTGACAGAGTCTAATTCATGGTAAAAATCAGAATTTATTAAAAATTGAAGACTTTGCTACCTTGCTATCTAAATTTTTTTTTTCACAGGGGAAAAAAATAATCAGGCATGAAACAGTATTTGAAACCCAACTTATTTCACACAGCATCTCTCTAACCAATTCAAAGGTCTGAAAATCATTCCACTGTGGTATGGCAGACACATATGGTGGTGATAAGCTTTACTCTCTGAAGAATATCCTCTCCAGAGGGGCATGTTCCATTTAATTGGAAAAGTCTGGGGCCTGATTGAAGCAATAACATATGCAGCCTGTCATGTTTCCAACTAGAAAGCTCATTCTCACTGTGCTTAAACATGAACTTTCCCTCAGCTATCATCACTGAATGTGTTATGTATTTCCATTAAGTCTGAGCCCACTGTTTGTATTTAATCCTGTTCTCCTTGGCAAGGCACACACTTTTTAAAATTCTTAACCACAAATTTTCTAAGTGGTGTGTCAATGCCACTAACTGACAACATGACAAATATTTCAAAACATCCAACAAAAACCAGAGACTTGCTCTGTTGATCACTGCACATCTAAACCAAAATTCAGTCTCCCCATAAAGTTTATGAACTGCTACGCTGAAGGATGGTAGCATCAAGATACTGTTTTAACAGCAGGGGGGTTTTAAGTGTGATGTGAAATACAAGCAAACATGGGTTGTTCTGCAAGCTATTACAACTGCTTATTTGCAAAGCCCTGGGCAGGTTTTAAAACCTCAAGTTTAATCTTCACAGAACAGCTCGCTGAAATTGCTATTAAGCAATGTTGCAACAAGATTTTTCTCAATGTGCAACTTCTGTAAATACACCTAACTTTGGTTCTAATAACAAATTGGATGAATTTTATCTGTTATCTACTGCATCCCTTCAAGGAAGCAATATGCAATATCATGAAAGCACACAATGGAGAAAGATTGGCTCTACATCATCATTTTACTCAAGACAAGAGAGGCAACACACTTTCAGGTAAACCAAACAAAAAAAAAAAAAAAAAAGAACTTGCAGGGAGCCTGATGTCACAGCAGACTGCAGCTCAGAACAGCAGGTCACGGGTGAGTGAATACTGGCACTAATACAGCCTTCCTTGTAGCAGTTTTCCGAAAAAGTGTCACACGTCTTAATTTGATCTGAGCCTCATTTTACAGAGGACTTCTTTCTGGATACTTTGTCTCGCATACATATTTTAACAGCTAACGTTTCAAGGTGGCCAAAACCATGCATGCTTATTCATGTTCTTCTTTAGATGCACCATGAAGGGCAACAACACTAATTTAAGCAGAGATGATCGTAAATTAAAAGCCCTATGAAACAGCAACACCAAGAGGGTAACAACACCAGAAATGCTGCTGTCTGTCTGCCTGAATACAGAGCTGCTGTTTCAACAAAAGAAAGCTACTTTTTCCTCACTGCTGGCAGGTCTGAACACACTATTGAAAGATCCCAATAAAATATCAATAGAAACATAACAAATGTAACAAATGTAAACAAAAAAATAATAAAATCACAAACAGATTTGTTTTGCACAACAGTTCATCCAATCTACACGAACTAGAAGAGGACCCCTTGATTTCCTTTTATCCTAGTTTCAGCTGGGATGGACATATTTTTCCTCCCAGTAGCTGTTATAACGCTGTGTTTTGGCTTTAACATGAGAATAATGTTGACAACCCAGTGACGTTTTGGTTGTTGTTAAGTAGTGTTTATGCTAAGACAAGGACTTTTCATCTTCTCATGTCTGGCCAGTGAGAAGGCTGGCAGAGCATGAGAAGCTGGGAAGGAACACAAGGCTGGGAGAGCTGACCCAGACTAGCCAAAGGGATATTCCATGCCACATGATGTCATGGCGAGGATATAAACTGGGAAGACTTGTCGGGAGGGGCAGATCAAACTGCTCTGGGACTGGCTGAGCATGGGTCAGCAGGCAGCGCACAACTGCATTGTGCATCGCTCATCTTTCTTGAGTTTTATTTCACCCTCTTTTTATTATTTTGCTTTCCATTACAATTACTTTTATTACTACTATTATTATATTTATTTTTATTTCAATTATTAAACTGTTCTTATCTCAACCTACAACTTTTACTTGTTTTCAATTCTGCTCCCCATCCCACCATGGCAGAGGGGAGGAGTGAGCAAGCAGCTGCACGGTGCTCAGTTGCTGGCTGGGGTTAAACCACGACACCTTTCTTTGAGCTCCCTTAAGGTATCTGGGCTAGGCTTATCTGAAAATCCAGGCGGCTTTTGAGCTGTGCAATTTTAGAGTGGCTTTATCCATATTTCTTTAGCAGAAATCAGAGTACACATCAAACAGTATTTTTTTTTCACTCCCACAGCCAAGAAGTGTGTAATGACAACATGACTTAAAGAGTTACTCGATTTTTATCGATCTTTGCTTCTTTTTGCACATCCTCCTTTCCTGATGTCGCTCCATCTTAATACTATGGTGCTGCATGAATCTCAGCAAAGATTATAGCGCAACTTAGACCATGTGCTTTAGTGCTTCTCAGATACCTACACTTCCAGAACAAAATAGGTTTAACATGGATCCTAAGACCAGCCTGTATAGAAAGATTAATCTGAAAATAAACCTTAGGAGTGAGCATGTATCTTGAGTTTAAAAATATTTAAAAATAGAAATACTGTTCTGCAAGTTGTTTGATAGAATTTTTATCTTCTTTCTTTTACATTTTATTTCAATTTCTTCCATTTACCATGAGATTTACTTAATAACTATTTCAAGTATCATTTTTATATAAAGTAATCTTGATGGTTTAAAAAGAACAGTATCATCTTTCTCATACAAAGTGACAGCGTCTCACACTGTGTTTAAATGCAACAAAACTCTCCTCTTCCTTTTAGTTACAGTTCAGTACAAGCAATCCCTCTCAGCTGATCCTGATTTTTCCATTGCTCCTTTAGATGCTAAAGCTGAAAGCATAAGTTCACAACACACAGAACGAAAATCAGTGACGTATTTAAGCAAGGCCATACCTGAACACTCCTTCCATTTGGTCTTTGGTGTAGCTTTTTCCACTTTCACCTGCAGCAGATGCGTTGCTTTCCTTCGTGCTGTTTGGCTTACTTTGATCATTGCTACTGGCTGGTTTTCGGCAGTAAGCACCTCCGCCAGCAGCGCTTCCATTCTTCATAATAGCTTCCAACAAAACTATAAAACAACGGTATATCATAGTATCATTATAGGCCTTACTGATTAAATTGGGGCTCTCAAGCATCTAAATGGGAGCACCACATTACAGAAAACTAGCTGCTACATCCTCCTTCCGTGTTGATCATCACTTCATTCCACAAATGTTTCTGAAGCCAGTCTAGCAGCATCTTTTGTGGCGAAACTACGGCAAAGTGTTTCAAAATTAGTGACTGGACTCCCATCCACCTCTGCCAAAGCAATTTAACACCAGAGAGAATTCACCCAGGTCCCCAATTTCTAGATGGTTTCTAGAGGCACTAAACCCCTGTTTTGGGTTGAAAACATCAGAATACCTGAATAAGCAACTGTAACTCAAAAAGAAGAACTAACATAACACTCTAAAGAACCTGCAAATTATTCCATATGGAGACCGAGCCCATCTCCAGCACATTTCAGTTGCTGCAGTACATACCTATCTGTAACCTGAGCCATTATTGGCCACAAACTGATGCTCTTTAGTCCTTCCAGGCCACACCAGATGAAATTTATACTATTGTTAAAGTGCCACAAGTAAATCAGGACCAGCCAACCACACCCAACTCTTGAGACCTGAATCTTCAAAATCAGCACGCTTTTGCTAGATCTTAAAATCATCTTTCCTCCTGTGTTCCAACAGATCTCAAATTTAGCAGTTTTAATAAATCATCATTCTCTTTCTAGATATAAGCCTGCATTTTGGGGATATCTGTCTTACCAATGAACCAGAAATAGTGCCATTCTGACTTAAGGAACTGCACACAAAGCATACCGCAGACCAAAGATTTTATCTTTCCTGAAAAGACATGCCTTCAGAGCAAGATGGGAAACTACACCGGCCAAATTTGTTTCATAAACAACTGCGAGTTCCTATCTGCCTTAAAAATGCCCTAATAAAAATTCTCACAAAAAAAAAAAAAGGTCTCGCTCATTGTAAAAGCATGTTACAGCTTTACTGTTAAAACACATTTTATTCTGGAAGCTAGTCAGAAGAATCTGGAAGGATTTTCTCCTAAATCTGAATTAAAAAAAAATTATGCCCTAACTAGTTTGGTCTCTCTTAAAGCAGCAGCAAACTCGGATCCTACACATCACAGCTTATGTCTCGCAGAAGCAGAGGAAAGAAAAGCAAGCAGAGCTTTGTTTAAAAGGAGAAGAACCACTTTCCCCAAGATGTGCTTTTTAAAACTCTCCAGTATTTGCTTTTACTTATTAATTCACTTATTACCCACTGGCCACAGCAGTCTGAAGTACTGCAGATGAATAGTTACACTTAGCCTGAACGAGAAAGTCAGCTGACTTCAGTGCTGGTCCTGTGCTCATGCCTGCCTCAGCACGACTCATCAATTGATCAGGTCAGGCTTTTTACTGCGGAAATAAAGAAACAACTAACATTTAGATGCTGGGTTGTATAGCAAGGAGACGTCTTCACCACAAACAAAATGAGGTTCTTGAAAACAGGAGAGCTATAGTTGCTTTTATGGATTATAATCGAGGCATGTACCCAAATATTTGCAATAGTGGTTCTAATTCTGTTATGGCATTTAAAGTTCCGAGGTGAACAAAATAATAACAACTCCAATGAGGTGACTGTGTCTGCAGCTCAGAGCTAATCAAGAATAGAAATCTGAACAGACAGTGCCTCAGAATGAAGCATTATCAGTCCAAATGTGCTCCAGATGAGTGATAACAGAAAACAAAATTATTCTTTTTCTATCCTGTGATGTTTGATATTTAGTACAGTATCACGTGGGATCCCATTGAATATATGACTCTGACTTAACCTCTAGAAATACAGCTTAGTCAACAGTTTTGCAAATCCTGCCTTTATAATGGCATTGCTCTAGAAATTCCACATCCCTGCACTAATGCTTGTGCAAAATCAGTAGTAGCAATGATGCTAGAAATGCAGGTATAGACAACAGTTCATGTCTTTAACACCCAGTGTCTCTTTCACAGGAAGTTTAGCTGGTAAGTCTTTCCATGAATTGGTTTGGCTGCACTTTACTTTCAACATCACTAATTCCTAATCACCTTCTCAGACGTACCATTCCCCCTACCAGAGCTGCACTGCTGAGAAGACAGTGCAGGACACGTGAAAAATAAAATCCGTGTTAACTCTTAAAATAGCAAGATGCAGCATATACAAACGTGCTATTGTTCTATATTGAAAAAGAAAACGGCACAAAGGGTCTGGGACCATTGCTTTCTTCAAATAAAAATACAGTTCAGATATTCAGAAACAACTTTGACTCTACCATGCTGGTGGTAAAACTGGCTGTTAGAACCGTAGTACTAACAGTGTATTAAAGAAAACTTTCGGTGTGCACCTAGGTATTTTAAAACAGAACGTACAAGGAACCAAAGACTTATTCTGTTAGCAGGTAAGACGATGAGTCCTATCTCCAAACATGTCTGAAGACTCCCTTGTGCGTACTGTTACCTGCTGCTGAACAAAAGATCCTTGCACTGCATTTAATTCCATTATGCATTGAACATGACCCCCAGTTGGGGGAATGGAATAGAAGAACCTTCTAATTCAGAATTCATAGTAATACAACAGCCTCAGAAACTAAGATCATTTTCAAACTAGACTTGTTTTCAAAGGCAGCATCAGAAATAGCGCAAGAAAATCTTAAGATGCACTGAAAAATTAAGTTGTCCTTAAGGTCGCTTTCTGCCTTCAACTCCAAACAGAATGGGTCCTAAGATTGAAAAGGATACCTTGTCCCTTGTTTTCTTTAAATCCACTCTCACAAATCGTTTCCAGACAAGCAATTATTTTCCCTTCAGTTGCAAGATGAATCATTAGCACAAAATCACAATCAAACAACATTTTGAATAGCTGAATTGTAGAACAATTTTCTAGCAAAGAGTGACGTCAACATGAACACTGCGACTATGAAGTCATTAGCTAAGTATCATTAAATACGCACTGACCTTACATTGCACGCTAGTAAAGCCTTAAAATAGCACTGCTGCAGTCAGCATATTTCAGGCGGAAGCTTTGTTTAGCAAAACTAAACTTCACTGATGACTGAACTAGTGCTGAATGCCCTTTAAATGCAAATGTTGCCAAAACCAAACCATGCATATTAGTTTTAGAGGCAATAGTTAAAACCTCCTCTCTGTCCTGTAATAATCTGCTACAACTTCAAGAGGAGGAAGGTCCCATCAGGAAAAGATCCAGCACTACTCTTCTCATTGCTTTCATCACTGATGGAACATCATTTGTGAAATGGTGGGCAATTGTTCTCAAAATTATACTACAGATACAAGCTATGAAGAAGAACTGAGAAATTGGTACGAACGACCCTCTGATACATACTCTGAAGGGAAAATAAGGACGCACAGTGACAACTGGGGCTGTACTATATTGTCCTATCACCTTGTAAACCCAACACATTAGGGAAGTAAAAGAAGAATTTGTGTTACAACAACAAAATCTTACTGTTTCTCTTCAGTATGTGCTATGACACATTTTACTTATCTAATGAATTACTGCGGTTTTTTTGTTTGGTTGGGTTTGGGTTGGGTTTTTTTTTTCCCAAGTGGACTCCCTGCTTAATTTACCAAGAAAATGAAAATGAGATAACAAAGCAGTCTTTTCCTTCCTTCTTAGTCAGTGTAAAACACCAGTTCTAATTTACTGCACACCTTCCAGTTCCCGTCCTGACAAAAGCACATTCTGTGACCTTGCAACTTACTGCACTTTTTACAGGGGCTATCTAAGTGCCTCACAAACTTTGAAAAAAATATACAATGAGTTGGTGGTGTTTTGGGAGAAAATGAGATGAGTTGAAAAGAATTAACAACCTCCACAGCAAGAAAACTGAAGCACAGAGATATCCTCGTCCGGTCCCCATGTGTTGCCTGATCTAGTTGAGAGGCGTCCCTGCCCATGACAGGGAGGCTGGATTAAATGATCTCTAAGGTCCCGTCCTGCCTAGGCCATTCTGTGATTCTATGATTACAAGTTTACAGAGTTCCCTAACTTCTAAATACCTAGTTCACATCAGGCCTAGGGCCTGACTCTTTTCAGTGGTTTTAGGGCATCTGCAATTCTCATTAGCTTCAGATGGAGCTTTAACTGCCCATCAGTTCCACAAATCAGGCCCTTGTTTCAGGCTGAGTACCTGAAAAACGAAGCACAAACAATTAGCCATCACTGACGGAAACAGAGTGAAGTGACTTTTTAACATCACAGAGAAAATCTGTGAGGCATTTAGCTTTAGTACACAATTCCCCAGATTACAGTCCACTACCACAATCACAAGACCATCTTCTTTTCCACAGATCTGTACCTCATCTGTGACACACTTTGCTAATTTCCACAGTGTATAAAACAAGTGTCCTAGAGACAATAGCCTAATTAGCCATCTATTTCTTGCACCAAATACTTTACAATGGTGGTTATGTAGTAGCAGTCCTACTTAAAAAAAACCCAACACCCAAACACTCAAATCGGATGGAGACTTTTTTTTCCCTGAAAGCTACAGTAACACTTTTCTGAGAGGTACAAGATGGTAACAAGCTACGTGAAACAGACGCAGCTATTCCCGTTCTTTGGTGGAAGAACTGACTTGAAACCTGCAGCCTTCCTGCTTCCTCTCCTGACCAAGAGAGCTTCCGAAAAGCTGGAATTATTTTCAAGCATGTCATCTTCTCAAGTCACAGAAACATAGGGCAATATGGAAAACTACAGCTTGTTTTTTATTTCAGAGAGGCGTGTAACGTGGCAAGAATATTCTTCCAGGTGATTTACCAGTGACATCCACCCTGTCTTGCAGGAGGGGAAAAACCACACACAAACCCCCCTTCATACTTTAAAAATCAGAAGCACTGATGAGACTTCAGCTTATTATTTGCATATAAGAAGTAGTCAGGAGATAAGAGAGGCCAAAAAAACATTCACTGAATCTGCTCACCTGACTTAAAGGCTTCACTACAGAATAAAACACAGCACAGAACATT